ACTTAACATATGCTCCTTTAAAAAAATAAAGAATTTCAAATCTTAAAAAAAAAGAAAGTGTTGCAAGTCTAACATAATCATAAGAATAACATGTTGAGCAAAACACACACTAGGACGGGACTAATCCTCAGGGTAGTTGGGCATTGTGCCAGGGACCTGTGAGACTAACTTGTACTGTTGGCTTTTTTCCTGGTTGGGAAGAGGGAAGAGCAGGAGCTTGAAGATGCAGCCCAGCCAGCTCTGGGAAGGAAGACCCAGGCAGAGAACAAAATGTTTCACATTGTACATTTGCTGAAAAAATAAAATTATTATTCTTTCTGGAGTGTACAATGTAGAATTTAATCTTATTTAACCTTTCATTTCCCTTTCCCATAAGCTAACAATCAACATGTGTAACTTATTAACACAACTGAGCATAATTGTTCAGTCTTTTTATATCTGTTAATTGAAGATATTTGTCTTCTCTTTTCCCCTAAAAATGTATTTGCCCAGTTAACAAAACGTCATTTACTTGAATGTTTTTTTATATCCATTCCAAAGGATCCATAAATTTCATTGTGCTGTGAGTATAAGAAGGATTAAAGTATAGGGGAAACATGATGACAAATTGGATGTGATTACTGTCCTATTCTTACTTGATTAATTCAGAATATCAAAACAACATTAGGCATTTTGACAAAAAGTCAGTGTAGTTCTTTATTTCCACTCAGAAGAGACTAATCCTCTATGTTTGGGCATTTTTTTTAACTTGTACTTATAAACATTGAATTTGATCTTTGCTCTTTTGCAGGGGGTTTACCCATCTGATAAATATATCTGTGGGCGAGGCACTGTTCAGTGCTTTAGTCCTGGACTCTTTAACGATCTACCTTGGCTGCTCCACAATCCCTTTGTTAATTATTCTATCTTCCTGCTTAAGTGCCTCCAGTTCTGATTCTAGAGTATTATTTGGTAAATTAAATCATCCATAACACAGAGAGGAAGGGGGGACGGGAAGCCCTGAGTGGTGAAAAGTCAATGCGGTAAAATCTATGCCTTGTAGATTTCTTAATATGGAAGCCTCTGCTCAGCCCCTACACAATTGTAGCAAGTTCACCTATCCAGTTTCCCAATTCACAGGTAAATGGAAAATAACTTAAAGTTAAGTTACTATGGCTACAGCTTATTATTATTATTATTACCATTTACTGAGTACTATTAGCTGCTAGAAACTGTGCTAAATCTTTTCCATGCATTATTTCACTAAATCTTTGCAGCAACTCTGTAAAGTACAATTAGTAGCTCCATTTTACAATTTCATAAAATGAGTTTTAGACTTAAGTTTTAGGACTAAGTAATTTGCCAAATTTGTCTATACTTCTACAGACAGGCATACAAGTAACAGTGAGATAACCTGATAACAAAAGAATAAATAAAATACAAAAGAAAAATAAATTGCAAGAAGTTGGAAAGCATAGTAATTTGGAGGTATTGAATTTGGAGACAGGCCCTCTTGATATCTCTCAGTAGCTTTCAGAAGGCAACCCAGTATTACAACACAGTAAAGGAACTGGTGTGTATAAGTATAACCCCAAACCATTAAATTATGTTCAAAATCTCCTAGTTAAGAATGGAGAAAGAAATGTAATACTCACTATAAATATTTCTCTTATTTTTTAAAAAATTGGTAAGGTAAATATCAACCTGTGTTCTGGATTCTTAAAGGGAAGGCTTTAGTTATCTGAAGAATTCACATAAACAGAACACATTATTCTCTGATGATGCATTTTTATTTGTGATATTTTTCTAAAGAATAAAACATTAAAAGGGAAGAAAGGAATATAACTTGATTTGCAAAATATTTTCATTTCTCTTTCAAAGCCTCTTCATTCAGCTTCAGCTAGTTCATTTGTCAATTTGCTGTGGTTTGGGCATATTCCATCACCAGGGTTTATCCTACTATACTGACTAATGTGGGCTTGACCACTTTAAAAGGAGACCTGGGAGCATGACTGAATTGATCTGTGGTTTAAAGTGGCCAAAGAAAATCCTCAATCCCACTCCTTACTAGGATTATAATAGTTGCCCCAGAGCCTTACTCAAAATGGCTACATGGTCCATGCCTAGGGTTTAACTGTGATTTGTCATGAGAAGGTGAGATCTTGAACAAGGTCATTTCTCAAGTGACCTGTCCTTAGTGGGTACCTGAATATGGCCTAGAGCACCTGAGAGGCTATAGGAAAGATGAGAACCCTGGGCCAAGACAATTTAAAAGGAGCCAGGGATCCAGCAATCAACTACAAGTATCCTTCAACAAAGTTGGCCTTGTCCACAGTCTTACCCTATTATATTTTGCCTGGATCTGTCCATAGCAAAGTTTCCAAGAAAAAATTGCAAGGAGGGACCCTAGGGACTAAATAGGTGGCAGGGAAAGATTCTGAGGTGCTTCAGGCTTCTCTCCGAGTAAGAATTAAACAAACAGCCCAGTGTGGATAGTGCGAGGGGAGGTTATATGAGACAGACATAAAAAATTAAAGTCCCAAACCACAGTGGTCATTCAGAAATGTTTGCAACTTTTCATAAGGCAGTGGTATTACTCCAAATTTCCTAGCCAAATATTTATTAATGCAGCTGAGGATTGAGTACATGAGGTTGTCTCACATCGACCCAGCATCCTACTTTCCTTGCAGCTCTAAACTGTGAGGTACTGTCAAAAAAACTCTTCCACACTCAAAATAGCTACGTTACAGAGGAGAGTTGGAACGTGTTCTGGGAGTGGGTGTGTTTGTTTGAGTTCAGTGTGTGCAGAAAAGGCAAGCCTCCAAAGCAATTCACACACTTCCCTCCTCAGCGATGGGTACACAGACAGCAGAGCTCCTGGACTGTCTCTGAACGGTAACGTACATTTATAAAGATTATTTTCTTAACTATTTTGAGCCATTTTATAAATAATATGCATGTGTCTACTTATATATATATAACTTTGGCTGATCTTGTGTGGTTGCTTATGAGGTTTGATTTCTGAGTGTCAGAAAGGGATCCCCCGTACCTCCTACCCTAGCCACCCAAAAATATCTCTTGGGCTGGCCCACCACAGATGAGTTCAAATCCCCACATTGCTCAAATGAGTTAGTCATTGAAAGTAGCTGTTAAAATTCAAGTGTCACATTGGGATATTAAGTAGACATTATAAATTAAAGACTATGTAAAACAGAAAAGAATATGGAGAAATTGATTCTAATATAATGTTAAGTTTGAAAGGAAGAATGCAAAATGACATACACAGTCTGGTTTAGATGCTGTTTATAAAATATCATGGGGTCAGAGCCAGCATATATAAACCTAGTTCATGAATATGAGCCTGTAGTAAAAGAAACCCAGCACTGTTGGGAAAGTTTTGTTCTGATTTATTTTAATAAGTGCTTTCCACAGTTTCTGATCCTCAGATCCTACTTTCTTTACAGTGTATCATCAGATACCTCTCTTTGCTGATCCCCGGAGGCTCCCAGTGACCTCCTGTTAATCGATCTTGGTGGGGCCCAAAACCCCACCTCCTGAAAAATTTAAGGAGGCTGACATCTGCCTGCGGGGAGCTTTTAGAAAAACCTCACAAAAGCCCACCCAATCTCTCTTGGCAGCAAACTGCAAAACCAAGCCCATTTCCTCAAAAGATGGTGGAGGACTTAGCAGCCTCCTATATTGCTCTGAAATTGGAGAATGAAATTCTCCAGGCCCAAGTGCAGAGGCTGATGGAAGAAAATGCTGCCCTGCAGGCCCAGATCCCAGAGCTCCAGAAGCCCCAAGCAGCCAAGGAGGATGAATCCGTCCAGAAGCCCACAGAGGCCCAGGAGCCCCCAAAACCCTCAGAGCCCCTGGAAACTCCAGCAGCCTGGGATCATACAAATCCCCCAGAGTTTGAAGAGCCCCAGAAGCCCAGAGAGCCCCAGTCGCTTCCAATTGTCCATGGACTCTCAGCAGCCTGTGTGTCCCAAAAGCCTCCAGAGGCTAAGGAGCTGGAGAAGTTCCCAATGGCCCTGGAGGTCCACAAGCCCTTTGAAGTCAAGGAGGTCCAAGAGCCCCCTCATACCAAAGATGCCCTAAAAGCCGAGGAGGCCCAGAATTTAGAGCTCCAGGATCTTCCAAATGCCCAAGATCCCCAGGAAAAACCAGAATGCCAGGAGACCTCAACACTCCTGGAGCCCCTGGAGCTTCAGGCTCCCAAGAAGCCTCTTCAGTCTTGCATGCCTCAGGCCCCCCTGGATCTTTCAGATGCCCAGGAGTTCCTAGAGCTCTCAGCACCTCAGGAGTCCCTGGAGGGCCTAATAGCTGCTGAGACATCAGCCACTTCAGAGTTTCCACAGTCCCCTAGTGGGTTGGAGGCTGAAGTTTTCCCCTTAGAATACCCTTTAGCCTTCAATGGGAATTCCCAGAAGTTTCCTGAATTCCTGGTTCAACTGAATAGTTACATGAGAGTCAGAGGGCACCTGTATCCCACTGAAGCAGCCTTAGTGAGCTTTGTTGGTAACTGCTTCTCAAGTGAGGCTGGAAAGTGGTTCCAGCCCTTAGTATATATCCAAAGACCCCTGCTGGAGCAATTTGAAAGTTTCATACAAGTGCTCCAGGATACTCTTAACAATCCAGAAAACATGGAAGATGCCAACCACCGCATCCGTCGGCTTTGCCAAGGGGAGGACCCTGTCCACCAGTATGTGACCCACTTCCACCTCATTGCTCAAAAGCTAAACTGGGGTGAAAGTACTCTCTGCATCCAATTTCAAGAAAGCCTTGCTAGTTCTATTCGAGAAGAACTGTCTTCCACAAGCTCAGCCACTAACCTATCTGATCTGATCACCCAGTGCATCAGCCTTGAAGAGAAGCTAAATGTTAAGCCTGATCCAAATCCACAAGGTACAATTCCCTCTGAGGAAAGAGCTGGGCCTGAGAATCAACCACGGCCTGTGCAGGCTGCCAGCAATCGCCCACGCCTCTGTGAAGCTGAACGGGCTCGGCGCCGTGAAGGCCACTTGTGCCTCTACTGTGCTCATCCTGGTCATTTTGCCAGAGATTGCCCTGTCAAGCCTCATCGTGCCCAGCAGGCGGGAAACATCCAGGCCCGGCGGTAAGGGGGAACCCGGGCGGGCCAATCTACAAATATGCATCCCCCTCACTTCCAATATCCATGTCCCGAACCCTATGGCTTACTGTTGAAATTCGACTTGGAAGACGACAGTTCTTTGAGCAAGCAATGGTGGACTCAGGCTCCTACAGAAACAGCATTGACCATTCCGTGGTTCTTCGAGAGAAGCTGCCCATCCGCAATAACATCTTCCCTCTGATGCTTGAAACAATAGATGGCCGTCCACTGATTAATGGACCCATAACTAAGGAAACACCACCTGTCGAAGTTAAAATTGGAAACCATGTTGAAGAGCTACAGTTTGACATTATTCATGCACCACGATACCCTCTGATTCTTGGAATCCACTGGCTTGAAACACATGACCCAAACATAGAGTGGAGTACCCGCACTGTGTCCTTTCCATCTCGTTATTGTCACTACAATTGCTTCAGGCACAGATGGAATAGAAGACATTGTGATGAAATCATTGCTGGGTAGATTCTTTGTCCTAGTAACTGCTCCTGGCAACCTGTCTTCTATTACCTCAGTTGTCATCAGAATCTCTAACAAAATTAAAAACTACCTGGACAACAACACTGCCTCTGGGATCATGGACTGAACCTGACAATTTTGAGCTGCTTTTTTTTCACCAACCCTGCATGCCCATTTCTTTGAACCCTGCATTACTCTGAGGCAGTTTTTTTTTTAATTTCTCTATGATTAAGGTATTACATATGTGTCCTTATCCCCCATTGCCTCCCCCCCCCCCACTCATGCCCTTAC